TGATCTGCTGAATTATATTTTTTCAGCAACAACAAATCAATGCTCCATTACTGCATTCTACTTTTTTCCTGTTTGTGAAAAAACGAAAAGTCTTTTTAGCTGGATCTTCGGACATAGCCATTAGATCTTCGGATTTGGCTATTTAGTCATCAATGCTTCATCATTTGCCCTTCTGCCAGGAATGCAATCCCAACATTGGCATTCCAAAATAAGAGCATTCCAACAACATATTAAGCCATTTCGCCATCAAAAATTCTTTTCTTTAAAGGCAATAAAGAATTATATGAAGTATACAAATATAATAATATAAATATAATAAAAAATAATTTAAATTGAGCAATACATTCATACAACAATATATATACAACAATACAATGCAATTTTAAAGCCTAAGACAATTTCAGTTTCAGGTTTCCTATGAAGGGGTTTATCGACAATCCGGTGCGACTTTAATTGTTTCCGAATGTAGTTGGAGAATATTCGATGATCAAAGTAGCATAGAATTAGGCTCAAAACCCATTGAAAATCTCATTTTTCTCCGCGATCAATTGGTTTTGCAATGGAAATTAGTCAAGCATGATTCTGCTATCAGTGATTATTTCCCACACTTTTTCTGTTTGAACTGTGAAAAACGATTCCCGACGATCGTAGATTTTCGCTATCATTTATCAGCAGCTCATCGAGAGCACTGTGATAATATCAATTTATGCGACACTTACCCAGAGAAATTTTCTACGATAATTTTAATGCAAGATCTTACGATATTGAAAGGAGATCCCATTCGGTAAGCAGCTTGAGCTTTTTATTTTCTGTTGTGTTTTACTAATTTTGCCATTAAAACTCATACAAGAATAGCAAAATTTCGAGGTCCTCCCTACAGGCGAGTGCTTTTTTAAGATGCATCTTTGCAATCTCTTCAAAGCCAAAAATTAGTCCAATAGTGCCCATCTTCAATTTACTCTATTTTTCGTTATAATCCTTCAATACCATGAATCATCGACATTTTATCCTTTAAATTTTATAATTTCTGGTTATGCGATGATAAAAGACAAAAGTACTGTCAACTGGAGATTAAGATAAGAAACCAAATCACAATAGTTTTTAAGGGGATAGATATTATTAGAGGACTATGGGCGTTAAGCTAACGGAAAAGACTTTAAGAAATTGCCTCTAATGAGTTTTAGCAAAGTTTAGAAGGGCGTTTAGCGGAGTTTGAGGAAGCTTTTCAGAAAGGGATTTTTGGTGGTGTCAATATTTTTAGAGGTTTCTTGGCAGGCTGAGTTTATCGACAACTCATCCATAGTTTGGGCTATGGCATAATTAGCGTAGTATAAGCCAATTTGAGGTAATATTATTAATGAGCTTTGGCAAAAATATATGATGGGGGTTTTAAGAGGTGTCGATATATAAAGGAATATATAAAGGAATGTACTAAAGTGGCAATTTTTTGTGTTAATATATAATTGTGTCAATAATAATATATATCTCAGTTGGCGTTATTAACAATTCTGGCCAAAATTTACAAAAAATTGGCTAGAAAGATCAAAAATTCGACATACTTTGGATTTTTTTCTTCTTCAAAATAGAAAATTAAGAGAAAAAAGCTAATTAAAAATTATTATAATTAAAAATTTTAAATTTTTAGAACTTATTCCCTCTTAAAAAATTTAATTTAACAACTTATGAAAAGTTATTTTTCTTTGGTTTTGCCTTGCCAGTTCTCAATTGTCAGTTTTCATTTTCGGTTCTTTTAGGCTAAAATTTTTGTTTTTTTAGATTCTTCATTTTAAGAATTTATAGATTATTTTAGAAGAGATATTATTAAAACAATTTTACATTGGATTTAATCTTAAATTATTAGTATTATAAATTAATAAGGAATTTTTCTCAAAAAAATTATAATTAAAAAAATGATAACTAAAAGAATTGCGACAGAACATGGCGATTTGTCTGATAATTAAGTTTATCATCATGATATTTGTATTTGTATTTGTATATGTAACGAATAAATGCACGAAACTTCATCCTAATATAAAGTAATATATAATTTATGGTAACTGTGTGATAACGATGTGATAAATGATTAGAACAATTTCATCTTTATGAACCAATTTTTCTATAGAGATTTATCGAATCAGTTTTCGACGTCAGTAATGAACTATGAGTTGGATTTGTTAAATTCTTTGGATGTCGAGCAAATAACACAAAGAAACCTATTATCGGCCAACGACTTTTCTTTAAATCATATTTTTCAACACATTCCACTTAACTTATTTACAGCGACATCAAATGTTTCAGCAGGAAATAATGAAGGTTTTCTTTCATAGAAATTCATTCAATTCGTAAATCTTCGAAAAATTTTTATCAAATTTTATGCTTCAGTATCCTTTTTTAAATCTTTGACTTTATTTTGATAAAGTAGCGCAACTAAACAAAGCTCTTTAGAATTCGGATGTGTATCGTCATCATCAATAATTTCATCAGGATCACTTACAGCACGTAATAGTTCGAAAACTTTGAAATGTCCAAAGTGTAATTGGCATTATAAGTATCAAGAAACTTTGGAAATACATATGAAGGAGAAACATTCCGATAGCGAAGTATGTTTTTTCATTTTTTTAGTTGTCACGCAGAATTAAGCCAAATAATTGGAATTTCTTCTGATCATATATGTGCCCAATAGAGAAATGTGAATTAAATAGTGGCATTTTCTTACCTCAAAGAATTCATCTCAAAAGAAATGGGCTTATCATTGAAAAATCCTGCTGATAATGAGATAACTTATACTCCCTACCTATGCTTACCTATATTTATACTTACCTATAGCTATATTTATGTTCTCAAATGACCCTCTGATGAAGTTATCTCATTCTACTATATAATCAATAGAACAAGACTTACGAGAAATGATTTTAATACCTATTTTTTGTATGCACCATTCTATATGCACCTTTTCTTTTCTCCTTTTTTTATCCAAATTAAGCTTCTAATCCTCTCAGAAATCTTTGACTTTTCTACAGAAAACAGCTTAAAAAATTTTTTTGCCTGCAAACACTAAAATGAACCACAATCTGAAAGTGCAATATTTGATAAGCGGAATGGTACATCCCAATTGCTTTCCAAAGATTTTATTAATTTAATTTTATTTATTTTAATAAACAGGAGGAGCGCCAGTAGCAGTAAAACCTTATTGTTGGTTGATTTTGACTACTTTTCGTTCGATTCGCTCAACAACAAGCAGTATGAATATCGAATCTTATAAGGGTAGAAAAGGGCCAAATAAAATTCTTAGGCAAATAAGCTTAAATAACCTAGTTAACTTATTTCTGATACGAAAAGGGGCGACAAATCAAAAGTATAAATTAATACATAAAAACTTTTGAAAAACTTAGATTATTTATAAGATTTGAGAATTTCTTATGCGAGATTTCATCTAAATCTTCGACAGGATTTAAATAACTTGTAATATTCGTAACTGCTTGACCACCCAATAGATCAGTCCAGTACTAAAGATTTCTAAACAACAAGCAATAAATTTCCTTGAACGGACCTGACAAATGACTAGCTTTTAGTCTCAACATGTCCATTTAACTTCTCCAATATTTTATATGCTTATATGTTAGGTAAACTGGAAGATCTCTTCTAAAGAAATAAAATAGATAAGAATAATCAAGAGCTTTATGTTTGACATTAGTTAATAAAATGTTCTTAAAAAAATTTGTTTTACTAGTTGGACTCTGTTTTGTCGCACTCAACAAAATATGCAAAGGGAGTCGCCTGGCATGAGAAGTCGTCAGGTAGGTCGTCAGCGCCATCCGGATTTGGATAGGTTTTCTGCGATGGGAATAGGCCCTCAGCATCATCGCTGCGAATTAAGCAACAATCCATTGAGCCATTCTACTCTTTTATTTTTTTTCCATTAAATGTGAATCACGATATGACAAAGAGGTACCCAAGGATATGGATACCACGGAGCGCGCAAAATTCTGGGAATCATCCTGATCCCGATTATAGCATTTACTGGATGGATAAAGGAAACACATCTTTTACAAAAAATTTATGAAGTTCTATCAGGGTCCAATGCTTACAGATTGTTGAAGTTGATTATTAATTTACTTTAAAGCTAATGGAGTAATTTCTCTGCTGCTTAAAAGATAATTTGTTAAAATTTTCTTTTCAATAAAACATATCGATAAATTAAAGAAATAATAGTAAGGCCTAGGCCATTTATAACTACAATCCCTGTATTATTTACTTTCTTTTCCTTGCAAATTTGATTGTTTCTGAAATTTTTATAAGCAATTTTAATAATCTAAATCTATATTAATTTGTGATTTAAAATGGCTTCTTTATTTCTTTCTTTCTTTTATTTCTATTTATTTCTTTCTTTTTTTCAAAAATTTAGATTTTTGTCATTTATTTTATATATTTTGTTGATAGAAAATGTTTATAAGATTTAACAAGTATCTATTTTTTATATTAACAAGTGTCTATAGTCAGTAATAAATGTTTTATATTTATTTATTTTATGTGTTCCTCGCTAAAAGTTAATCTAAATAAATAGAAGTTTTTTTCCATAATTATTGCATATACGACATATGATAAGGAGATATCAAAAATGCGTCTTCAGTTTTTAAAAGAATAAAATCGTTAAGAGTTTAATGATTTGTTGTGTTTATTTGTAATAGAAATGGAACATATTAATTGCAAAATTTATGTAATGACTTGATACGGTTCTGATAAAAACCATTCCCAAGACCAGTTATTTCCTTTCAGTACCATGCCAAGTTTCGCATTATTCTTTTCTATTAGTAATCTTGTCTTTAACTCTTAAACTTCCATTTTATTCTCATTTTAGACTTGATTGTAGTCCTTAATACAAATCTCTATTGTTTTTTTAAAATTCCTCAACAAACTACACACTTTGGCGACAGCTGTAGTCATATAAGTCACTTTCAAAGGTTAGGTAGCGCAATAGGAATCGAGGATATTGAAGGTGCATGAGGGTAATTAAAAGGTATTAAGAGAGAATGATGAGGATATGGCGGGTGTGAAAACAGTGTTATAGCTTGTTTACTACAGTAGTAATATAATGAAATATTAAGGAGGTATCGGAGTATCGGAGGAAAACAGTTCTACTTATTCGTAGAACGGATCTTTTTGCTAATCTATTATATAATTGGATATGTGATTTGTGTATTTTTTTCCTTCATTATTCTATTTTACTAATAATCTTTCGAACAAAGTAAATATAAAACAAATTTTAAGAAATCAATTTCTTTTGTTATAAGTATCAATATGAAGTACGAATTTTCCAGTGCGAATTTTCATTTTGAACAAAAAATGCTTTTCTTTTCACAGTTTTTTTCAGGTAAAATGCATCTATTGCCTGCAAAGTAGGCCACATCCTCGTTTGGCTCGAGGTGAGAATTATTCATGTGGATACAAACCATATCGATGTGAAATTTGCAAATATAGTACCACAACAAAGGGTAATTTGAGTATTCACATGCAAAGTGATAAACATCTACATGCTATGCAAGAAATGCCTTCAATTGTATCAGGTTTTTTTAGCTTTTTTTAAATTATGAGTCTGTTTTTTGGAATGGAATTGTTATTGAAAAAAGTGACATAGTTATTTGGATAGGCCCTATTCAAAAATTTACCAAATTTAGGTTCGGGGGCCACGATAAAAGAGTTGGATATTGAGAATATTTTGCAATGTTTGATATGTTCTTCGTTCTTTACTGATAGCGCTGCTGAAATGATCGAACATATTGGTTCCGTACTTTTTTTTCATATTTTTCTTGTGCAAAAAGTCGCATATGTATAAATCGCATTCATTGTAGTTTATGTGTATTCAACTAGAAAGAAGGAGAATAAATAGGCTCAAAATAGGCACTTTTGTCACTTATAAATTCTACAGGTAGATTTTTCGAGAAATTGACTAATTACAGAGAAAGATCGAAGCCGTCCAGCACTTGGCGATATTTCTGTGCTACATGGAATGTATCAGTGTAATTTGTGTCCATATAATACAAGTTTAAAGGCGAATTTCCAGTTGCATACGAGAACTGATAAGCATATTCAAAAGGTTCAAATGGTCTGTTTTCTTCAAACTTTTAGTGAAAAATATTTTATTCAGTAAAAAAAATCAAATAAGTCGAATGATGACTTTGGTGAAACTTTGCATCACTCAATATCACGAATGGTGCCTTCAGTGGTGCTATTAGCCATAGGAGGAAGGGAAACTCAGTAAAACTCATAAGATTCCCTGCTTTAGTTGTACATTAGTTTATAATTTCAATAGCCTTTAGATGGCTTCTGTATAGTTATTTCGTTATAATTATTATTATTTCTAATTTTTCCTATTGTTTTCCTAAAGAACGCCATTTATTTATATAAATTAAGATGTAAGTAAAGTTTCAGGGAAAATTTGGAAATTATAATATAAAATTAAAATAAGAAAAAAGGAATTTTTAAACTTTTACCGTATATTGAGGTATAAATGCCAGCCAAACTGTCTTCATGACGGTTTAGCTAAGCATTTCTTCTCTATTTTTTCCAATTTTGATAAAAATTTGATGAGATGAATGTAGATTTTATCATTTTTTCCAATTTTGTTAATTTATTATTAATTTTATTAATAATTTCACAAAAATTAATTTTATTCTTTTTTTATATATTATTTGTCTACATTAAATAACGAATTTTTAAAAGTGAATAAAGTGAAGCGAACAAATACGAAATCGCTACACCAATTACTATAATAGCGTTGAAAATAAAAGGATATATATATAAATAAATATTCACGATTTATATGAATTGTATAAGTATTCCCAAATATATTGAATTATTGATAGTGAATAATTTGGATTGAGCAATAATATTTATTATTATTATTATATTAAAAAGAATATTATTTATTAAATTGTATAAGATTTTTTATTGAAAATTATTGAACGGTGTTGGAAAATATATAAATGAATGTTGGACGAATTGTTTGTTATTTATTGTATTAACACTCAAATTTTCATTAATTTTATTTTGTTGACATTTAGTAATAACGATAAGTAAATGGAAATATTTGCATTGTGATCACCGTCGTCACCATCCTCCATCTTCATCGCCATTTTGCTATCGCCTTCGATTTCGCCATCGCACCTTTTCCACTTTTATTATATAATATTTTCCTCTGTAAAAGATTGATATGACACGTTTTCTTCTTTTACTTCTGAAATCATTTTATCCGTTTTTTTAACATTTCCGCTTCATTTAATTTCCAGTTTCCTATTTTTTTCGTTTGTTTTTAGCATCGTTCTGTCGAACTCTTTTTATTAGTTTAATTAGCAACTTTTCCGGAAAAACATTCAATTTTTCACCTCCTTAGCCTCTTCAATTTCTCTGAAGAATCATAAGAAAGGTCATAACTTATTTGCCTACAAAAATCGCCTTTTTCATTCATTAAGGTCAACATGTATTTTCTAGCGTTTAATAATAATTATTATCTTTGACAATATAAAAACGATCATCCATCGTTCGAAAGGTCAAACTTTCTGCCATATATTGCTTTAATTCAGTCAGCAATAGCAGTAAACGGAAAATATTAACCTATTTTCAATTGAAGCCAAAATTCAATAATTTATATTTATAAAATATTTCACTGAATATTCTATCCATTTATTCAAATTATTCACGTAATTCTTTAAAATTTATTGTTTCTAATAATTCATAATTACGTTAAAAATATTAAAGAGATTCTTTGCAAACGTATAACTTCAAATATTTCTTACTCATTTTTTTATAGCAAAAATATTAATATAGCTCCACCTTTGCATTCTCTAAATTGATTTGATCTTTATTTTTAAAATTTTAATTTAATTTTATGGGTACTTTCAACTTTAAGTATTCTATCAGAGGCCTAGAAGATAAGGCAGATAATCTTTCACAGGGTCTCAACTATCCTTATGGGAATATTAGAAATGATTGGCTACGATTCGAACTGTTGTTGTTATATTCAATGTTAATGATTTCTTCTTCATATGTTTTGCACTGTAAAAATTATAAATAAATTTATTTTTTAAAATAATTTCGAATTGATTTGAAAAAAAAATATGAAAATTGAAATACTCAGAATTATTAAAGAAATGTAATATTTACTTTTCTAATTAATAAATTTATGAGAAATTTTACTTGTTTTCATTATTTTTATGAAAAATTTTTTATTGTTTATATTTTCCACCTGTTTTACTTGAGATTTTTAGCTGATTTTTCTAATTATTTATTCGTTAATATTTGAATTCATTTTTTAGTTCATTATCACTTACCAAATTTTATCTATTTTTGGAAATTTTTATCATTTACTTTCATTTATTCATCTGTAGGAAATAATTTAATCGGTTCCCTTAATTGTTTTAAGAAAAATTTTTTCAGAGATAGTTCTACTGATAGTTCTTTGCTTTATTTTTTTCACAGAAAATCATAAGAAAAATTTATTGTTTGCGTTATTCAACCACTCATCATAAAGCCTCACTGGATCTTTACAGTCCTTTATACAGTCTTCAAGGCTTAAGAACAAATTACAATAAAAACTACTTAGAAACTAATAAAAATTACTTAGAATTTTCAATCTTTTGCTTTCGCTAGGCTGTATTTTGTATTCTTATCTGAAAGAAGAAATTATCTTTTGCTGCACATAAAATAAATACATAGTACAGTTAAGTTAAAAAAAAAGGAAAAAAAATAAATGGACTAAAATAGGTATATTTCAAAAAACTCGTATTTTTATAAAAAATTTTAAAAAAAGAGAGTAATTTAAAAAATAACAGGTAACTATTTTTGCCCGACTAGTACGTCTACGTCTTATTCGACGGAAGTAATAGCGATGATCGTAATTCTCAGGCTTACGATGGGCCGCTTTCTGCAACAGGTAGACTCTGATTCAAACGGTAAATATACCTAAGCTAATTAAAGAGTTATTTCTGTTTTTACTGATACGCAATTTATTGACCGTATTGAATTCATTGATAAGATTATATGATTAATTATAGGTGACAAATTGTATATACGGTAGTCCCTCCTTTTTCTTTGACATTACCACTTAAATTGTCTCAGCCAATTACAAGGGTTGGACTTCGAAGTCCTTTGATCCGATTGTCATATACGAATGCAACAGAAGTCATTCCTTTATCCATCATCTCACTCCATACATCGGTGGTTCGTCTATGTTAGGTTCATTGTTCAATATTTATATGAATATTTTGATAAAAATAAGATTCCGCGTTTAAAAAAAAAATTCACTAATGCATAGATGTATTTTATAAAGGTAGTATAACGATAGAAATATAATGAGAGCTATGGAGAAATTATATTATTATCTTGAGAAAAGAGCTTGATTGTTTGACTTTTATAAGAATTTTTGTTTATTTTGTGAATGATCGAATCAATGAATGGATGATTGAATAAATGAATGAATGAATAAATGAATGAATGAATGAATGTTCACAGTTTTAGAAATCTTAAAGTAAAACGAATTTTATAAAATTATTGGAGGGATATTAAAGAATAAGTTTGGTGAAAAATAAGAATTATTCGAGAAATTAGATTAAATTAAATAGAAATTAAATTTTTTGAATAATTATGACTTTATAAATTTGCTAAAAATATATTGTGAAAAAGATTTTTTACATTACTATATTTGTTTTTATTTTTTATTTAAATAGAATGGTAAATTTTTTTCTAACAGCCTTGGAGAGGTTTTGAAGAGAGGATCGGTCACTTGATGATACAGATGAGTCGATATCATCATTGGATTTTTAAAAAATAGCTCCACTGTGACCGTGAATGGAACCCCAAGAATTGGCACTTCGAAATGAGAGCAATAATTTACTAAGAAAAAGGAAGAAATGATTGAATCAACGAGTCAATGAATCAAAATCAACGAACGAGTCAACGGAATCAACAATGAGGGAGAATGATTAAAATTGATTGAATAGCGCAAAATTAATCAACTATAATCATCGTCTTTCGATTAGTATTAGTGTCCTAGAAATTTTCCATTCTCCATTCTTTTCTTCTTAATAAATAAGTTTTCCTTCTTCCTTTTTCCTTTTTTCTTCCACTTCTTAAACGGCTTATATTCTTTCTTCCATCCTTTTTCAATTTGTCCATTCTTTTCCTCAACTTCTTAATAAGCTTTCCTCCCTTAAAAACGATAAAATGGCGAATAATAAATTATTGTATAATCATCGATCGATCATCATCGGTCATTCGCCTCTAATTACAATACTTCATTACGATAAATTTCAAATAATTATGTCAATCGTCCTATGTCGCTATATGACAAATTACGTTTGCCAAATCATTTTCTTTTTTTTGGCACGAATTTCATTAACTTAATTCATTATCGTATTTTGAATAATTTAAATAAAAAAATGACCTTCAGCCCGATCATTAAAACTGAATTATTTATTGATGATTAACATTTAATTATTATGCATTAATGCCTTTTCAAGGTAATTATATAATTAATATCGAGAAAATAAATAGTAATAAATAATAAATATTAACAATTAAAACTGATTTTGTGCAGTATAAGTCGTCTTTTTAATAATATTGAAGTTATTCAAAAAAAATTTCTTTGAATAAAATTGCTTATTGTTATCCAAGTATAAAATTTTGAATGAATAGAATTAGATTTTTAAGTTTTTTTTAAATTTTTATTCAAATTTTTTAATTAAAATATTTTGTCAGAATGATACAATTAATACAATTATAGAATACAATTTGTCAAGGAAAGTTTTTTTCGATAGTTTTTATTATGGAAAAATAAAATAAAAACAAATTTTTATTGTGCATACTCCAATAACAAAATCATTGAAATTATTTTGAACTAATTTAAATAGATGAGATATTTGAATTTAAACTTGTGAATATATACATACATATATGTATATAAAATAATGGATGTAATGGATCAAAAATGGATTAAAAATAATGGATACATTCATTTTTCCTTGGCTCGTAGGCTCATAGATTGGTTCTTCCTTGGATAGTTGGTTTATAGGTTAGTTTGTTAATTGTTAATTGAATGGTATGCAAATAATTGTATGCAAATATTGTTCAATCTGGTCTAATCTGCAATAAGAAAAAAAATTGTTTTGCGCGTTATTTCAGTTATTTTGTTTATTATAAAACTAATGAAAAAATATAAGTTAAAAAAAATTCACTTTAATATTCCAAATATACATTTTTTCAACTAAATTTTCATTCATTAATTTTGGATTAATTTTTTGTAATTTGCTTTCAAAATTATTTTTCATTCTTCATTTCAACTAGAATTCTAAGGTGTTGGTTAGTTAATATATCAACTTGCATGCAAATATTTACTTTGTTCCTTTCGTTTCGTCTTTTCCACTTTTAATGATTCGCCACAATTATTTTCACAAATTTTTACAAAAATTCATTGTTATTATATTTATTCGTTTTCAAACTTGTGAAAAAAAGAAATATATAGAAAAAATTTCCATTTCAAGTCGAGAGGAAGGGGTTTTTAATCATTGCTTTTTCCAATATTTTTTCTCTAAATTTTATATCATCATCATTATAGGTGATGCCGGTGGCTCACCTATAATTCCATCGCCTGGCAAATTTCAATTTTTAGCGAAATTTGTCTGATCCGATAAGCCAGCGTGAGGAACGGTAATAGCCAACTAAACACTTATTTCATTTATCTCATCTTTATCTTATTCACATTGATTATATAAGTTTTTCAATGTCATTAATTTTTTTATTGTTTGGAGCTTTTTCCAAAAAAAATTTACAGAAATTTACAAAAAAATTTCAGTGAAAATCAATAAAAATATCATTTATCTTAAATTAGAGACCAATAAGTTTTAAGAGATTTGCAAAATTTTCAAATTTCTTTTCATTAATTTATGAAATTTTATTAGAATTTAAACAAAATTCAATAAATATTTTTTTAATAAAAATTTTTATAAAAATTTAAAAATTTAAATCATAAAAAACAATCTGAATTTGAAATTTTTTTTGTTATAATGTTATCGAAAATGAATATAAAAAATCAGATTTAAATGCGATTTAAATCAAATGAATTTTTTAAATTTTTCAAAAATTGAAAATTTTCGATTAAACCGAATCGAACTTATTTATTATAATTGATATTGGTGAAGGGGAAATAAATGATATGTGTCATGTGAATTTACTGTCAATCTTCATTTATTTTCCGTCTGATCACTGATGATTTTTTTTTCAATACTTTTGTATTGAATAATGGGAAAATCTAAGGTGAAATATTTACTAGATGAAAAAAAAAGAAAATGGAGAAAAGAAGGAAAAGACAGGTTCATTCGGAGGGAAGAGGTGGGAAGAAGGGATTTCTTTCGAGAGAGGAAGAAGGAAAGGATTTATTTTTGCGATAATTGTTTTATCACGTAAATGAGAAATCTTTTTTAAATTTTTTGAAGAAAAGCTATTAATGATAATGACAAAGTGAAATTAAAGATTGTTGATCATGATAATTATTAAGCTGATAATTCAAATGAAATTTTTACATTATATTTTACAACTTTAACAATTTTTTGTTTAATTATGAAAATTTAATCTTCCAATTCGAATTTTTTTCAGTTATAGTAATAGTTTCGAGTTGATTTAATTATAAGTTAGTGATTTCATATTCCCCATGCTTTTTCATAAGGACTACGCCTTCAATTTTTCATTTCGAGTTTAATTAAGTAAATAAATAAATAAAAGAAATAAAAGAACTCACCATTCTCACGATTTCTGGTTAGAATCGTTCCAATAGCTATTGTTAGGATTGAATAATTTTATGCTAAAGGTCCAGAAGATTCCAAGTTTTGTACAACTCAAGTTTTGCAATGATCGATCTTTTTACTTCTGCACCATATTATGATGCTCGAAATAATAGTTTAAGCAACCACTCGGTATTTTTAATTTTATATTTAATCAATTAATTATTGAACAATCAACAAATAGTATTTACTTATTATCATTTCGTTCTATATTATCATTATTTTTTGAATTAAATACAAATTTCTCTTTTCTTTTTTATCAAGAACTGTTAAGAAAATGAAAAAAATTCCAATTGCCCAAACGTTTCCAAAAAAAGATTTATTGCTTTATTGCTCTTAACTTTATTTAATTCGGAGAAGAATTTTCACGAAAAATGCTAATGAATTAGAATTTTAGAGAGGGGAAATGTAAAGAAAGATGATTGTTGATTAACATTAATTATTGAACATTAATTACCGTATAATTGCCAGAAGGTCATGACTGGAATGGAAAAACATAGTGAAGGGTATTTCAAATGGAAATTCTGGTTCATAGGAATTATTGATTTCTTTCTAAGGTCATTAATGAGAAAATTTTCCTCCTCGACTGAAAAAATTTTTGGTGAAGGTTAACAGAAAATTGTACTGAATCGAATAAGGCAGAGAATGGTAGGAAAGCAAAGGTAAAAGAGAATGATTGTAGAGGATAAGATGCAAAAAAATGAAGGGGTATAAAAATAGGAAAGGTTAGTTGAAGAATGAATTCAAGGTGAAAGATGAATAGGAGGTATGATGAAATATGAAAAAGAAAATACATTCAAGAGTGAATAGAGTGAAAAGGGAAAGATGAATGGGAAAACAGGATATTGAACGATGAATAAAAGGACGCGACGAAGCTAAATAGGGAAAAGTGGAGGAAAAATATGCTAAGGAGAAAGGCTGATCAAAACATAGGATGCCAACTGTATATTATTTCGAATGAGAGCAACTGTCATGACTTCAGTTCGGTTCTCTTCGGTTCTTGAATAAATGTGCCGTTAAAAATGGGATCCTGGCGGTGCTAGAGATCCCCAGATGACTTTCATCTGAACAGCTTGTAAAATTACTTAAGTAAATTTTGAAGGCTGTTAGGATATGAAAAAAACATAAATTTCTCCGTGGACAATAATGATATTGTAAATGGTGCGCACGGTAATTTTCGATGAAACAAGTGAAAATTAGTGCAGGGCGGGATTAATTATATTATGAAGGCGGTGCCAAGCGATTTGATTGGTTCTAACGAGTTGCATTGTTTCACACATTTTTCGAGACAAACCCATCATCATTATTATTATCGTCCATCGTTCACATCCTCAATAACTTTTTATTCCATTTTATTCTTTCAACCTATTGCTAAATTCAGGTTTTAGACCAATCCCCTTGAGCTTTTCTTTCATCTGTTGATACATTGAAGTACATATCTATTTTATCCTTTATCTTTGCTAAATTTTTTATTATCAGCACATTTTTATTTTTTTAAGGGCACTTACCATTATTGGTTAGACTCCACTGGCTTGTCCCGCTGGACAAATATGTCAGAGAGTCCTTAATGATAGAAATTTAGGTGAATCGCCAACATCTCTCGGATTTTTTTAAACGATAGGTTTACTTCTGATTTTTATTCAGTGCCTCAGTACTTATTGTAATTTATAATTTAAAGATATATTCATTAATCAAACGATGGATGAATGGATAGAAACATTCATTCATTTATTTATTCATTTCTGTAATATATATATATATTTTGTTGAGTTATTCTATTCGATCATAAAACTAGTTAATACCTCAAAAATAATTCTTTTCCTATCGTTATAATTCATTTTCTCTTCTCATTGTCCCTCATTCATTATGTTTTAGTTTTCTATGCGAAGAGTTGAAATAAATTGCTAATTTTAGATGAACCACATAAGAGAAGGTGCAAGCACAGGAACGTCGACTGCTATTTGTCGCTTAAGTACAGTGAAAAGTGTTGTGCAAATTCGCTGTCGACCGTGTCAAGAAATTTTGTCCTGGTATATCCTTTTATCCATTTTTTCGTTGATGTTTTTAAAAATTAATTTTGAAATGATACCACATGTGTCATTCATGTTGATTTTTCAGTTTGTTTTTAGAAGCAAAAGCACGAAAGTTATTTCATTTAAAGTATTATGTAGTGAACATAAATCTTTGCATTTCAGCATTTCCTTAACAAAAGACTTAAAAAAGACTTAAAAAGAGTTACATATTCAAGAAGATATTTATTAATATATATTAAATGAATATGCATTAAATAATTTTATTTTTATACAATGTCAGAATAAAAAAATTTATGGATTGTTTGATAAAATCATAATGGTTAAATCCAGTGGTTTAGGTGCTTTTTATTTCTGGATTGAATTTTTCAAACAGAATTTTAAGAAAAAATTTTTTTGCTTATTCCTTAAAAGACTTAAAAACTTATGAAATTCTGATGAAATATTTATAATATTATTATCAAGCTCCTACATTTTTTTAAAAAAATAGCCCAAATGATTGAATGAAGACCAGAGAAGCCTAGGAATCTGTTGAAAAACTAAAGAGGGTTAATGAACTTCGGTAGGAAAAAATCATGTTTTCATTTTCTTTTATCTATATTTGTAGACCATACTTTTCTATGGTGCTGATATATGTTTTTTTCTATAGATCGCGTGTACTTAAAAAATTATTTTCTGAAGAAGCGCAAAGAATCAGTTCTAGGCTTCAATAACTTGGGTTTCCTTAAAATGTCAAGCTGGTCTATTTCATTAAAAAAGGTTAAAATCTCCAAGTTAGATGGATTAAAATGTTTAAATCGAATTATCAATATTTATTTTCGCTATATTCCTTTTTCGAAAAATTTTTTCGCTTAGATAATTAGAGGAAAAAAACAAATAATTTTTTAAATCAAAAGAAATTTTAAGAAATTATTTGTTCGGATATGAATTAATTTTTTATTAATAAAATTATTTATTTGCCTTTACGCCAATAAAGAAAGTCATACACCAGGAGCATCAACGGCCAAAACTGAGTAAAATAAAAAAAATTATCGGGAATAAATGAAACATCATTTATACACATTGCGTAATTGATATAAAATTTCTTTTTTTAAATTACGTAAATTTTTATTTTATTTTTTGCGATTTTTTCTGCGTATTACTGTATATATTATGGCTTTTCTTATATCTTTTTATATAATATAATATTATATAAATAAATAAAAAAATTTATATATAGTACTTACATAGTACACATAATTAGATGAAAAAAAACACAAAAAGCATATAGAGCTGATTCATCTCCAGTTGAGAGAACTTCATTTTTTCTATGTTGGAGCACCCAAAACTGGCTTCAGGAACAATGTTAGAGAATATCCAGAAGAATGCAATTAGGAAGAATTAAGATACTGCACAGAATCCTTAATCTCCTAAGCCTTTGGTAGGTAAACCGAGGTTAATAATAATGATCATTAATACCCACGGTGTAAGAAAAAGGGATTTTCTAAGAGAATAATAGGAATATTTTATTTTATTATTTACGAGGATATTTTAGTGCATCAGCATTACGTGAACATTGCGAGAGTCGAATTCATATAGCTCGAGTGGCTCAGTTATCAGTTTCAACAATATCCGCACATGCATTATCACCTTTATCTTCGCAAATTTTATTCGAATGTCGTCAGTGTTCGTTCGAAACAACCGAAAAAAATAATGCAATCGGTAAAAATTCTTTTCTTTGTTAAATGTTGAATATGCAATAATCTTATATAAATTTTTTAAAAATCAATAACAAATAATTAGCTGAAGTTAATATAATCTGTGAAATTTTCTAGTTGCAAACTAATAAGAGATAGAATGGCTTAGTGCGCTGGGGCTTTAACTCTGGAGCACCGATGCTGGACCGATTTTTAAAAAAGTGTATGGTGCCTTTAATTCTCTCACTAAATGACTCATTGGCAAAATTTTTCTTGTTCAATAAGCCAGTGATGTGAGGCCAACCAGAATTGCGAATGTTGTTCAATAAAAACATCGAACAGTTCGCATAAAAATAAGAAAAATTAAATCTATCTTGAAACTTTAATAATGCAAAATTCAATAGCGGCGTAAATATTTTCCATTTTCCTTTTTTTTTACTGCCAGCAACCAACTTACTCAGAGTTGAATAAGTGGATAAATGAAGTGTAAAAAATCGATTATAAAAAATTCAAAAAATATAAGTAGAAATTTGAATTTTTATTTCAGAACATGGATTTTTTACATTTTTCTTTTTTTTTTTTATTTTTGTACTTAACTTTTCAAGCACATCTGATTTTATCTGTTTTTATACTTTCTATTTTTATTCTATTTCAGCCATTTTCCTCAAACAAAAATTTTAAATTTTGAAAAAATGAAATTAAATAGAAATTAATTAAAGATTTCTTGTTCTAGGCGAAGCATTATAAGAATTATATCTATTTAAATATGATAAACACTTCATCAAAAGAATTCTAAATACCTGTGGTTTATTTTTTGTAGAGCATATGCAGTGTCACCGAAATATGATTGATTGTAAGAAGGAAGATATGGATTTGTGTCATCTTGACTCAGGTAATTCTTTTTTCCGAATAAAATTCCTCTTTATTAAATTCAAATATGTGATTTTCGAGCTTTTTTTAAGAATTTATGTAAAAAAATTTGTATTCAATTTTCTAATTAATTTTTTTATTTTAATATAAAATTTCGGGAAAAGGAAATTTTATTTTTTGCAAGTTTTTGAAGAATTTTTGTGAATTTTGTGAATTTTTGTGAACTTGTGAACTCGTCATCTAATTTATCCGACTTTTTATTTATATTTTACTCAAAATTTTTTTCAAATAATAATAATTATATTTCGAAATATTCTTTTATCAATACCATTATATACCATCTTTATCAATATTATTTCCAGACGGTAACTCTATTCTATTATTATAATGAATACTAAGTTTTTAAAATTGCAGTAATTCATCTATAATTTTCTTCTTATTCTTGGATTAAATTGTTTAGCAAATATCAGTTTCTTTATTATTAATTCTATATGAAATGCTGCAATTTATGGACTGGTTTTTATTCATTTTGTGGTGACAAATGGTGAATATTTTTTGAAAATGCTGATTTTATTTTTGGTTTATATTTGCACTCACTTTTTGGTTGAAAATAGTGATCAGTTTTTAGTTTAAAGCGAATTTTTTCTGTCTTTCAATGATTTTAAGGCGTATTTTTATGCTGGGTACAGAATGATGGAGGAGTGCCACAATTATTATTATTTTGATTCCTGTATCTTTATGTGATTAAACGGTTCATTATAAATGCAATCTAAGTCATGATAGATTATAGATAGAACTCTATGACGAAATAATCTCATCTCTGTTGTAATGGTAATTAAATCAGCCAGGCCAGAAATGGTGATTCTTATCGGAAACTTTTATCAGCCAGAACTGCATCTGACTCATATTTTATTGCAAATACCGACTAGCATTGCAGATTAGTTTAGATCCACTTAGCTAAAAAAAATTTTCATTTGTTTATAATTGATTTTATCTAATGCTATACACTTATTAATCCCTTTATCTCGATTTCTTCTTCTTATTGCTTATTTTTCTTTTCATCACTTCTGTTTTATTTTAAATCCAAGTCTCACCTCAAATTTCACATCAAATGCTCCACAATCATCAAATGCTAAAATTTTTGATTTTGCTTAATTTAACTTCCCATTAGTTTCACCATAAATTTATTTCGATTAAGCATAAATTGTTCTTCCTCTAAAAACGCAAATAATTTTTGGCTTAACTGCTTTCGTTGGCTACTACAGTTAGATATAAAGAGAAATATAAATTATAATTTATTAAATTGTTTTGCCTTTTGAAAGGTGATCGATCATTAAAAAGCAGCAGAAGTGATAAAGATATTTTTTTATCAATCAAACATGCTGTGATCAAAATTTCCAATCGGTAGACAATTTAGGATTATTTACTTGTTTTAATAAATTATTTTTATTTTCTTCAATTCAAAAAAAGTTTTAAAATAAAATTATTTCTGATTATTTGGCATGATAAGAGGTATTCATTGGATACACAGCAATAGTCAATCAATGAATTGCTTAAATATTTTGAATGGTAATAAAATAAGCGATAAGGAAGGAAAATCGGGGAGAATTGTTTTGCGAAGCAATAAATAAAGCTTGTAAAATTATTTATTTTAAGTTGCAAGTTAAAAAAGGCGAATAATTAAGGACTAATTGTGAAGGATTTCCTTTTTATTTACATATTTCAAGGATTAAACTTAATTCTTCATTTAAATATATATGTATTGCTTTGGTTTCTTTTGTATATCCATTGAATTGCCCCTTTTTCTCTCCCAATTTTTCTATTTATATTCTAATGAAGAAGAGAGGAAGGAAATTGTAACGGAAGTCAAAATAAAATTTTAACAAATATATTTATTCATTATTCACTTATTTTTATAAAATCTTATCGATTAATTGTTCATTTTTACTATTTTTTAAAAATAGAAAAAAGCAAGAATTTTTTGTAAAAATTATAATCACTTTTATAATAATTATAAAAATAATTTTAAAATTGAAAAGCTAAATATTTTAAAATTATTTTTCATCCTTCAAAAAAATCTTATTTGACAAAAAAAACATAAAAAGAAGAAAATTAATCTATTGAAATAATAAATTATACTTGATTTTCTAAATTTATTCGTTTATTTAGAAAAAACTTCTTAGTGGAAAATTTAATGGAAAATTTTTTTTATTTTCAAATATTCAAGAAATGAGACGAAACAATAATTCGAGATAACCAAGAGAAAGACTTTGTTAGCTCGTATAAAGTACTAAAAAATGAAAAAACTAGCTGGGAAATTTATAAAATTTCAGGAAACTGTTTTATTATTTTATGAAAATATAAAATGTAGCGATAAAAACAACTGATTATTATTCATAAAAGAGATAGAATTGCCCAATGAATTGTTGTTATGATTTCGGAACGCCAATACTAGGGTTCCAATTCCCAACTGGCGAGAACTTTCAAAAATCCAGATCACCTATTCAGTTGTACTTTTATCGCCAGCTGATTTCCTGACAAAATCAACAATATTGAGCAGAATGAGCCTAATCAGAAATTATGAGCGCTTTTAAGAAAAATAATACAAAAATTATATATATATATAATATAATAATTTAAACATAGTAATTTAAATGGTTCAATGAATTATTGCTATGATTTCGGAACGCCAGTACTAGCATTCCATTCCCAGCTGGCGAAAACTTTATTGTTAAAATTATATTAAAATTAAATCCTTTTTTGCCAATTATTTTTCAGTGTGATTTTTCATTAATATTTTTTGAGAAATTATGGCTTCAACAAAACAACAAATGGTCGGTTGGTCGAAAATATGATTTTTTATTTATTTCATTAAAAAAAATCAAGTGTTCAATGAAGATAAAATAAAATTAATCGAAAATAGATTTAAATTTTTTTCCCAATTTTTACTTCGTATAATATAATAAATATGATTCATTGTACCATATTTTTTATTTATATATTATTTTAAAAAATATAATTATACGGTTGAACAGAAAGAAAAGCGTGGTCTATTTTAGTGAACTTGTTTTTTTTTTTAAATTAATGACAAAATCGTTATTTAATCCTTAAATAATTCCCGTTTGCTTCGTTTAACTCCTTTAATATATATTTAAATGTTTAATTTTAAGGCCCTATAATTCGTTTTTCATCCACCCTCCGTCTTTTTATTTAAACATTTACCCTTTTTTCTTAATTCCTTTTTTTTCGGTTCGTCTTCATCGTCTTTCTTCCTTCTTCATTTTTTATTTTCGTTACATTTTATTCCTTTTTCTTCATCTTCTATTAAAATACTTTTCGTTTGCCATATCTGGTATTTAACTATTTTTTAAAATGTAAAATGTATTTAAAACTATAAAACATCTATTTTTATTTTAATTAGAATAATTATACTAAGTAATTCAAGTAACTTAAATTAATTTTTACCAGTATTTTTTTGCGCCATGTATTTTCCTTCAGAAAAAACATCTTTATTATTGGCGAAATTATCATAGTTAATTGTTCACTGTAAATATTTTATCAGTTTATGATAATAAAATAAATATTCGTGTTAATGATTTATGAAAGAGTCGTTCATATTGATTTCTACTTTAAGATTTATCATATCGTTTGGCGTCATAGATTTTGTGAGTTGGAGAACTTTGGACTGGCACAATTCCATGGATTTTTAGAGATTCATTCAGTCTAAAGAGAGAATTATTAATCTTTGCCTGTTCTTAAATGAAGTATTTAGTTCCTTATAGCATCTTCAAATTAGAAATAAAATTAGATTAGATGTAAGAATGGGTGCATTATAAAATATTGAGACCAAATATGAAATCATTTTTACTTTCATTAGCAATATTCACAGACTTTATTCGTCTTACACTTGTATGCCGGAAAAAGAGATGGCTTTTGTTATTCAAATGTGGTATCGAATTGAGCGACTTAGAAACATTTGTAGCCAGTAGAGCCAAGTAATGGATTAAGAAGAGGGATATTTATCTGCTTTTTTTCAAAGTTTTTTTTATTTTACGCATTTTTTCTAATTATTCTTTTTTTTGAAAAAATTCTTTTTTCGAATATATTTCTCATAGTTTCTTTCTTTTCACTCCTAAAGTCCTTTTCACAAGTTTAATTTTTGATAATTTTTTATTTCCAAATTATTCAGCGAAAAAAATGAATAGTTAAAGAAAATAAACAAAAAAACGTTAAATAATAATGAACATTTCCTTTTTTTTCTAAGAACCACTTTTGATTAGACAACTCTGCTTGGTTATCGTAGCAGGCAAATTTTGCTGGGTAGTCACTTATCGATAGAAGTACAAATGAATCACCGGCATCACCCTGGATTTTTAGATTTATTCCATAAATAGAACCTAAAAATCGGCGCTCCGAAAGTGCAATAATACTCTAAGGCAATTCCTCTCTCTTTAAATAAAAATAAATAGAATTATATTTGTAATTGTAAATATATTAACCTTAATTTATTTAAAATAATTATAATTTAAACAATAATTTTAATTATATTAAATGATATCTGTCTATTAATTTTAAATTTAAACTTTAAATTCTAAATTTAATTTCTAACCTTTTTATTAATTTTAAAAATTTTGGTGAACAATTAAATAATATTATATACATATAATAAATAAATTTTCTGGTTTACTTATTGTCTTTTCTTTCAATTAATAAACTCCACTTAATCCTTTTAAACAAAATTCGTTCAAAAAGAATTCATTAAGTATACTTTAAATTGTTATTTAAAATTTTAATATTATTCTATTAATTATAAAAGAAAATAATAATTTTATTTCTTCATTTTTTTCCTACCGAATTATTATTCTTATTATTAAATAATTATTTATAATTATTTTTATTTATTATAATTTAAAAAGTGAATAATATTTTTTTCCAACTTTTAGTAATAAAATCGAAAATATATTCTTAAAAAAATTGAAAAAATTCAGTTCGAAAAAATGCTAAATCGGATAAAAATTAGTTTAAAAAAATTTAGAAATTAATGATTCATAACGATTTAATATAAAATTTTTAAAATTAAATATATATCCAATAAATTTAATTGCATTTAATATTGCATTTAATTATAAATATATATATAAAATTATTTAAGATCAAAAATTAAATCTTATTTTTATTCATTTTTATTCTATATTTGTTTAATAATTTTGTTAATCGAATTTAAAATTTAATTTTTTTTGTAATATTTGATTCAGTAGAAAATTATTAAAATTCATTTATTCGAATTACCCGAACGAATCTCGTTTTAATTTAAATATAATTATAAATTTCCATATCATAATAAAATAATTATAAATAATTATAAAAAATTGTTATTGTGATTGTATGATTTCAATGAAATAATTTTTATTCTTCTTTAAAAAAACCTTTTTTTTATATAAATTTTAAATTAAACGAGTTAAATTCGTTTGAGTTTGAAAAAAATATATTAATTGGTGATTAATATTAATATTATATATTAATATATAATATTAATATAATATTAACCATCAAACCACTGATTTGTTATGATTGATATGATAATTTGATAATTTTAAGGAGTCTTTGTTTTTTGTGATATTTTATGATTTTTTTATTTTTTTGTTTTTGTTTTGTTTTGTGATGATTTTTTAATTTATTATGTTATTATGACATTATATTTTAACTTTTAATTTTAATATTTTAAATATTTCAATTTAAATCATGTTAAATTCGATTTATTTAAATTTTTCTCTAACAATTTGCTTCACAATTGTGATTCATTATTACATTTATTATAATACGAATTCAATGATTTTTATTTCTTTCACCAAATTCCCATAATTGCTTCTATTTTTTAGACCACAAGCATCTTTGGCTCGATCCTTTTCCCAGTTAAATTATTGTTATCATTTAAAACTGGAATTTTGACGGTGTTGGGAACTTATATGCAGTTTGATTAGATTACTTAATTAATCTTGCCTTCGATTAATTTTTTTGAATAAAATTTAACAAATAAAATATGGTGGATGGTTGAAGTGGAAATAGTAACTCGGTTTAAAGTCAAAATATTCCATTCCTTTATTCGTTTATGTTTACGATAATGATTCTATTGATATTTACGTTAATTAGATAAGAAATTCGGTTGTTTTTTCAAAATTTTTTTAGGGGATATTTAATTTTCCTTCTTTATTTGAGTTTGCATTTGGCTGTGTTTTTTTTTTCATACAAGAAATATGTGTGTAAATCTAAATTTTATGAATAATACAACAATACATAATATTTATTCCTTATATTTTAGACGTTATAATATCTAAATAAAACAAATATAAAAATAAAAAATAAATATAGTGAATAGTGAGTAATGGTAGGTCACTTATTATTATTTCATTCGTTTGAGCAAGTGGATAATAATATAGCTTATTCCACTATGCGTTCGGCAAAAGCTCTACGCCCATTAGAAGTAAAAGACCTCTCATTAAAAAATTTGGGTTGTACCATCCATTCACTTATATTTCTATCATCAAGTGGTGGCTGTCTAGCAAAATTTCTAACTGTATTCTGCTAGCAAAGTTAGCCATTTGCACAAATGGTGATCCGCTAACCAGTTACTTATTTATTCATTTTAACTGGTTTTTCTTTTATTAAAGAAAGATGGAATATATTTCGAAAACAAGCGTTTTGTGCAAATTTTCGAAAGAAATTTGCCCAAAATTTTTTCGGAATTCAGGTTTCATGTTTTTATCTATTATTTTTTAATTTAACTTTCCCCATTTTCTTTCTTTGAAAAATATTTGCAAATATTATTTGATTAATATTTCAAATAATTTTATATCCATCAATAAGGATTTTTTAAATCGCAAACGATGCATATTAAATGGATTTTTATTCAATTTCTCAATCATTTCATTAATAATAATTCATTTTAATTTTTGCATTTCTTGGTTTAATGAACAAGTGGAAAATAATAGTTATTGTCTGCCGTAATTTTTATGTAATATTTCAATATATTCGAAGAAAATAAAACAAAATTTCAAAAAATTTCTTTAGATCCTTTTTTATTTAATATTTAATAGATTTTTAATAGATTTAATGTTTAATTTATTTAATATTTAACAGATTTATTATTATAATATAGGGGGAAGAAAGTGAAGAAAGTTGAAAAGGTCAAACATAGGGCATTATTTTGTAATTTTATGTAAATGCTTGATGATCTGTAATGAGCTTAATGAGAATATTTATTTGAATGACATTTATGTATGTATATGATATTTATATATTTCAAAAATTACCCTGAAATTGTTCGAAAATACTTTTTTCTCCATAGAATAATCAACTATTTCTGATTAGATTCAATCCGCTGGTTTGTTTGACCAAATTTTACCTAAGGAATCCAATTAGGGGTGAAGGACTGGTATTATTCGGCTTGACAACCAAATTTTAAAAATTTATTGCTGGAACACAACTGCTTAATAGCAGCTAATAGCAGTTAATAAAATGAGCCCAGCAATGGAATTGGGAAATAACAATGTTTCACTTACCCATTCTATTCTCAATATTAAAATTAAAATTGTATATTGAACAATATTGAAAATATTTCTGATAATTATTGACTTAATTGTCCTAAATATCTGTAAAGCATTGGACTAATCAATCAATTCTTCTTCTCTCTTACTATTACTCGTTAGGCTGGCTCATTGGTTGCAAGAGTATGACGTCTCCAAGCTGCTCGGTCCAACGCCATCGCTAGTAGTAATGGAAGCCATTCTTTTTTCCATCGTCTAAGTCCATATATTGCTGGTCCACCTATACGTTCAAAATCTTTTCTGATCGTATCAGTCCAGGTCTTGATTGGCCCACCTCGCTTTTGAGGCCAACCATCACAGGGTTTAGCAAATAACGAAATATATGCATCAACTCCTATGGTGGACGGCGGAGAATGTTCCCTAACCACCGAAGGTGACGCTCTGTGATAATTATTCATACAAGTGGTATTTGAGCGAAGGTGGATGCGATCACGTGATATCTTATCCGCTCGACAGATCCGTATACGAATCAATCAATTATAATAAATAAATTAGAAATTTCCTTTATTATTATTTATTATTTTTGTTAGTTATATATTTTGTTAGTTTGATATATATATTTTTCTATTAGATTTTTCTTCCAAAAATAAATAAAAGTAATTTGAATTAACAAATAAAAATAACTTTTAATTAATATCAAATTTAAATTAACAAATTAATAGTTCTGTGAAAAATTCATGAAAAAAAATTTTAATGGAATTTTGTCAACAATAATAACAATTTATTTAAAGATTGAAAGATAGAAAATTGTTGTCAAATTGTTTATTAAATTTTATATATTCGATATAAACTAATTCATTGAAAGTTTTTCGCTTGATAACCACAATAATAATAATAATTCTATAATTATATTTAATTTTGATGAGTTGTTACAATTCGATTCCCAAAAAATGCATTTTCATTATTTCCAGATAAAATAATTTTGTTAAACTTCCAATAATCATTTCGATAAAATTGTAAATAAAATAAAATAAAAATAAAAAATATTCGTGAATTTAAAAGTTTTTTCAATTAATTGAAAGGTCTTAAAAGTTTTTTACCTGCGGTGCGATAAGTTAATTGAGGGAAAATTTCTTGCATTTATTGCAATATGATGTATTCGTTATGAATGAAAGATTTAAGAAAATGCAAATGGCCTCTTTTCACCATTTCTAATTAGGTTTGCTCCACTGGATGCGAGCCTTGTCTGCGGAATAAGTATGCCATTATAGTATTCGAGTGATGCTGAGCTTTTGCTTCTATTTCTGGATAATTTTCATGGTAAAAGTAAAATAAAAGCCAACTTACTGTACAATATTATTTGCTGTCAAATCTTCCCATTACATAACATATTATAGATAGAATGTTAAACATATTTTTATAGTTTCATTCAAAATATTTTATTTCTTATTCCTATATAAATGAACGATTATATTTGACTGATTCATTCTATTAGCAGCTTAGGATCGAAGAAGGTTTTTTATGTCCTCTTCTTCCTTCATTTTTTACACTTTACATGTCCTTCGTTTTTACTTCATTTCTCCTCTTACCTATCGTATTCAAAATTTGTTAAAATTCTCCTTTGATTTGGTATTTTGTTTAGAAGTTATGAAAAGAAAAATCATTTTCATTTTTCATTGCTTTTTTATTATCCATTGATAATACGATTAATATTAATAAATTGGTCGGTATCTGATAAGAGTCAAATTTTTTATCATTCACTAGTACAACATAAACATTGTGCCATTGTGGACTTATTTCCTATAGAGTTGTCTTCCCTTTCAATTTCTAAATATATTTATTTATATCAAGTAATAAAATAAAAATATAAAAAAAATATCGTCTTTTAATTATAGATGAATAGAAATGAATAAAATAAAGCAAACCTAATACAAATCTTTCGTCTCGCAACGAAAGTTACCGTATTTCTTAAATAATAATTTTTGTAAATAATCGCATCGCAATCGATTATGTGTTGATGATTGTTGTAAAGTTGCCATGAAAACAAAGAGAGAAATTATAGCTACTGATAAGAAGTATTAAGGGATATTATTCTTATCAGTTACCAATATTGAGTGCAATTCCTACAGTATTATATTTTTCATCAGTGCGCTCTATTGTCTTATGTATGATTACTGTAGGCAGTTTTCTATGATTACATACACAATGGGGAATTTTTTCTTCACATAATCGCATGCACTATTTCTATATAATTTGATTTGGTTCAATTAATATCTATTAGAATGAGACTTTTTTCAGTTATCACCAGTTATCACCAATATTTTGATAATATGTCTGTTAAGAAATAAGAATCAAACTCATGTAATGCGACATTCATCTCAAATTTCTATTCAAATAATTAAAAGTACAATTTTTGATGAAAATAATAAATAATTTGAAAATTAAGCACTGGATTGAAGAAAATGACAATAAAAATAAAATTGAACGGAAATTGAGTGCATGCAATATAATTCTGCACGTGTTTTATTAAAAACGGATATAAACCATTTATTTATCATCGTTATCATCATTATCGCTATTGTTATTATTATCATTATTTTTATAATTATTATTGTAATAAGCAGCTGCGCTTCAGTAAATTTAAAAGGAAATCGAATATAATGAATTATAAAAGATTTTTATTTCAAAGGATTAATATTTATTTCAAGTATTGCAAAAATATTTTCTTTCATTTATTTGTTTTACAAACTCAAAATATTATTATTTTCTTTAATGAAAAAATTTTTTTATAAAAAGATTAGAAAGAATGTAATTTTTTCGTTTTTTTCATAAAAATTTTTCTATTTTTTCTATTTTTCCCATTTTTCAATTTTTTATTTTTCCTATTTTTTTTTTTTTAATAAATTTCCCTGTTTCAATTAAGATCAATTTTTTCTTGAAATTTTTCCATTAATTTATTCCTTAAAAATATTATTTTATTTTAAATTTATTTAATTGTTTTGATGAATTTCTATTTCGATTTAATTTATTCGTAGTATTTTCAGTTTTCTTAAGAATTTTATTTAACGATACGAAAGTACAGATGAATCTCCATCGGATTCATTTTTAATGATTTTTAATGATAAGTTTGTGATAAATGAATCGAATCGGCCAATACTAAAACTTAATTTGTCAAATGAGTCAAATTTTGAAAACTTAATTCAGCTTCTTCAATAAATTTGTTTTGGATGCGCTCGATTTCAGTTTATTTTCAAATTATTTTATTTTCAATTCCCATTTAAATCCCCATTTTTAATTTCTAGTCTCATTTATTACAATTATTCAGTTCTTATTCGTTACATTTTAGTGCAGTTAAACCGTTTTGAACTTATTTCAGATCGATTTCTCATTAATTATAATCGTTAAAAAAAAAGTTTCATAATATAAATCAGTTTTTTCTTTAATTTTTCTTTTCAAATAATTGAAAACAAGTTATTCATCACTAATATATAATTTCATCGAATTGAAAACTCGTCAAAATCCTATTATTATTATTTTATATTATCGATTAATATGAAAATTTGTCATTCGTTTATTTTGATAAATTCATAAGAATTATCAGTAGATCAAAGATGGAATGCAGGTCATTTGCAAGGGTATAAATAATGAGTATTTATTCTATTATATTTAGTAATAAATTAATAATCAGCAATTATTTGTTAAATTTGTTAATAATTTTGTAAATTTTGCATATTTCTATAAATATCTTAATATATTAAATAAATATCTTCATCAAACTCTTTTAATCGTATATTGTCATATTTTCTTTTTTCAGCGCCCATTATTTCTGGTAAAAAACCATCGTTATTAGCTAATAAGATATCTTCCATTAGAGTGCTATCTGTGGTACCAATGAGTCCTTAGCGTCACCCAGATTTTACTTTTATGAACATGACCTATTCCCATCGAGAAACGATCAAACTCATATTGAATAAGAAATCATTAACGATCTTTTTAATTGAATCTTGAAATATTGAAGCTATTTTTGACTTTCATTTAGAAAAAAAATGAATTCAAATATATTTATGGCAAGAATTCTTATTTTTTCTGGATAGACTTGCTCCGCTGGTTTATGGACCAGAATTTTTTGTATGGAATCACTTGGTGAAATACAGATGAGTCCCTAATATCACTCAAATTCTTGACAGGGGTTCACTTTTGGCAGAAATAGAAGTCCTGTATTGACGCTCCGAAATGAGAGAATGATTTTAAATAGCCCATACAATAAACTTGGAAAATATAGAATAAAAATTAATGAATTTCAATTCATGAATTAGGTAATGAATTTCAGCATCATTTTCAATAGTCATAAATTTTATGATAAATAATGAGTCTTTTAATTGAACGAAATTTCGTATTTTTAATAATTTTGCAATTTTTTATCAAATTTAGGATAAAAATTGGTTTTTTAATGAGTTTAATGAGTTTATGAGTTTTGGTTTTAATTGGTTTTTTAAAGTTTTTATATTTTAATATTAAAAAATTGAAAGAAGTGAAATTTTTGCATTGATAAGTCATTAAACGAACATAACTGAACCAATTAGTTGTTAGTTTTAATAATTTCAGTAATAACAAAATATTACCATTGCCCCTTCCA